CCCCGCCCCGCCCCGCACCCCATCGTTACCGTGTTTACAGGGTCGAGACATTGTTCTCGCTTTCGTTTTTGCCACGGCCACCTACATGATTATCGGAATTTTGTACTACTGTGTATTCCCGATTACCAAAGCGTGTATTGCTGACGTGAGTACCACTCAATTTGTGACCAATTCTCTCTATCGTATCATGTACCAGCTTAACTTGTGCGCTTAAATGAAAATCGTGAGACCCAATAGGCAAATGGCTCAACCTGACTGGCTTCATCTCATCGTACTGATCCGCTGTACACAAAATCCGGATAGTTTGACCGGATCAGAGTGACCTGTGATACCGATATTACTTCAGCTTTTTAGTCGTGGACTGAGTGTATCCACCTTTCATAGGGGATACTTCTATTAGGTGATAGTTAATGGAACCCAGCGAAAATTGCGATTGACTGAACTAGAAGTTTAGAAAAACCGATTTTTTTTACAGTGGTACAACCTGGTTCGAGATCAGACAACAAATAAGGTGTTCAAACATTACGGATTTTTTTTAAAGTGGCTTCGTAGTTCAGCCAGTAGATTGTGCGATTTACGAAAGCGTATGCGGTGTCCATTCGTCGGTTCGAACCCCACCTAGGCTACTGAACTTTTCATAATTTTAAAGACAATTATTTGACCACTTTGAGTGATTTGTACCGATTTGAAATAACAGCAACATCATATAGGAAAAATTCTGTGCCCACTAGCGAATATAACTACATTTCAATGAAATGATGATTCTAATCAGCTATTCATACTGGGATTGTACTGAGAAATACTTAATACAAGGCAGACAGTTGATCTTAGTCTGGTGAAATCCTTGACTTGCGATTTTAGCCATGACAAGCTGTTGATGAAAGAAGGTTAGGGTCAGTCACCCGGCATGAGTAGATGAAAATCCGAATTGGGTTGCAATAAAATCTCAGTTAAAGACCTCGTGACCAATCTACTAAACGGTCGTATACATCGAGCGATACAGCTGAATGTTGTGTGTGACTGGCTGGACTCGTCTTGCATCCACTCACTTTCTGTGTATATGTGGTTTATTTGCATCAGAATGCATTTTTCGGGGATAGAATTATTGGCATCAAACTTTCCACACCTAGGTAGCCGAAAGACAGCGATTGAACTCTGTCACACGACAGTACACGGTGTTAAGCTTTGTATAAAGTGAATAAATAGAATTGATGTCCAGTTCCGTGATGTGTGCCGACTATATTTTGACGTGCACGGTGTCCACCTGATAGACACATAGACTGGTATAGCAAAATCCACCATGGTCGTTTATCAAAACACACATGGGGTTTGTTTAAGCGAATTACCAAGACAAACTGCAAATAGTTTTCCCCCAAATTTTGCGAACACTTGAATCCACTGAACGGGACTTTTTCTATCCGACTTTTTATTGTGTTCATTGTCTTTACGCTCCCGTTTTCAACTGGATTATATTCCAGAACTTTCTGAACAACCTGACTGCCGACATCCCCGTCTTTATTGCTCGATTGGCACTGCTGTTTCAAATGTCTACCGTGTTCCCTATGTTGGTTTACGTGCTCCGAGCTCAAATTATGAATGCTATTTTCAAGAACGTTTATCCTGGGTAAGCCTTTATCAATCATTTTGATGTTGAAGTGTCTTTTTGGTTGAAATATATCTTCTTTTGCGTATCTAAGCAAGTTGAACGACTATCAGTACACTTGATCGGATTGGGGAAGCTTTGACAGGACCGTTTTCCGTATCTGTGGCATGAATCAGTTCACCACTCTGATTGGTCCATTAACTAATCGATTACCGAGTTCTAGCCAATCACAATTTAGATCATATAGGCATGCAAACGGCTGACCAATCAGATCCAAATTCCTGAAACCTCTGAATTAAGGAGTGGTATTAGATAACATGGAACACATACTTTCAACTGTTTCTAAACTATTTTGTTTTACTCCGACTTGAAATATAAAACAGAGTGGCAATAAATTAGACGAGACGAATCTGCCATCACGCAAATCCACAGGTGAGAATAGAAAGCTTCAAGCGAAGATCTCAATGTCACCAAAATGCTGATCACAGGAATACGCGAAAAAACAAGTACTTAAAACAACAGGAGTATGCCGTTTACTATTTTTCACTGATGTGAACATTATTCGATCCGTATGGGGATGTTTGGTATAGCTTCAATGAAGAGCAGCCCAATATAATTCTTTTGGTGACAACTATCTTGGCTCTCTTGTCGTGAACAAATGTTTGAAGACGATCGAAACCTCCACTAAATCCAGTGTTTGGAATTTTCCCGCCGTGGCTCCATGAAGCATTCATTTCTAAAGGAATAAACCGCAATGAACAGGAAGCAAAATTCCCGCAGTAAAATCTCTTTCAAATTTGGATACTGAATCTCAGGTCAGAAAGCAACATTACACGTTGCCGAAATTTAGCAAGCAGCATATCAAGCTGATACCTCGGGAAGCAGAACTATCGCTCAAATCTTACCGGATCTATGAAACTGTAGTTCACATGACCAGTTTGGATGCGTGATTTACACGTAGTGCAGAACTGTTTTCTTTTTCGGGAGATTCTCACCGATCACAGAGAACAGTTGTCTTTCTTCCTGTTGTACTTGATAATGTCCTTATTTCATACGCATACCTTTATGTGTATGTATGGATTTGTATAGTTGTATATTTCTGTGTACAGCCTATTTTCTAGACACGCGATAGCGGTATTTCCCAAATATTTGTACCGTTGGTCTCGTTTTCCCATGTCACGAAACGCAACATGCGGTTTTCCCCATAATTTAGCGCCTGCTCACACATACGTTGCCAGTATCTGTGGCTTTTTGATGACACAATGAGGTTGTTTACTTAGTTAATTCCTCACTCTGATACAAGACAGCTGCAGTGGTTTTCCCGGTAACTATTTTCCATAATCACGAAATGGGACGAGGAAGAGAGAGAGATGGACGGATTTGAACGTGGGTGGAAAGTTCCGGACTCATATTGTCGCAAAGTTCAGTCATCATTCCTTCCGGTGCAGTGGATATGTTTTGTTTGAGAACTACATTAAGGAGGCCAACATGCGAGTAAGCAACAAAGTGCACTGTAAACATCTTTCGACCGGTTTGTATGGTAACCCAATCCGCTGGAATTCAAGCCCAGTTGGAACTGTTTCCACACGTGTCGAAATTAGTGCATTAAAAAGATGACGAAAAACACAACAGCTAATATCGAGCTGGATTGCCTGTAGGAAACGTTTACTCCTTCGGTCGGGAATTGGGCCATACAGTTTTCATTAAGCATCAGTCGGAGAGGGAGATAAACATTGGAATCGATCTCTGAATTGTACACCTCTGTTCAACCATAAAGTTGTCAATACGCGGCTATCTCGTTCATGAATCAGTCAAATACGAGCTGTTCTCAGCAAGTGTGGTACAGTTTGACGAGCGATATCACAGGTCAACATCGCCCATACACATACGAGTCATGCCCAGCTCTTATTTCACAAAGTTCTGGACACCTCGAATAGATATTATGTAACATGATCGTTTACACTATCGTAACAGTTCGTTATAAAGCGAGCCTTAATTCTGTCTGCATCGTTTCAGAGTTTTGTGTTATCACTGACCACAATGCTCATTTCACTCGCCTCCCTTAGTAGATCCGCGATTGATCACAGTCGCCCCACCAACCCGGTACATGTCTGCATTTGTGTCGACCAAACACTTTTCATTTCCCCCTCCTTCTTCGTCTTATTCCATTGATTTCTTTGTGAAACAAAACGTTTGTCGAATTCATTTGTTCATTTTTGTCTGCCACAAAAAAAACATTCATTTGACTCTTTTTGTTCGAGCGACAGCGAAAAGTGAACGCAATGTTGAGGTCTGACGCAATTCGAGTCCTCTTTTTGTGCTCACCAGCGAATGAGAGTTCATGAACTCAACTAATCGATTGACCACACCCTGTTTGGTTCGCCTATCCCGGGCTACTAGAAGCGCACTTGCTTACTTACCGGTCCAGATTTTAAAGTGGCCAGGGAATCTGTAGAACAAACACCACCACCAGCACCACCGCCACCACCAATCACCTAACTCGAAATTGGTAGATTTCATTTAACAGTTTTGTCTGAATAAATACAGAAAGAAATACCTAACTATGCAAAGAAAAATTCCCTGGCACTTTTGAAATCAATTCGATTTGATTTCGGCCACTTCCGAACTATTTCCCCGCTCTCCCTAAAAAAAACATCCCATAAATAAATAATTGATTGGTTCGAGGGACACTATACTGAAGCTATCAGAAATACCATCATTGAGGATGTAGAAAGCGAACCGCTGGTTCTGGTTCTCAAGAAGATGAAGACAAAATATATTCGAATAAAGTGCTTGCTTGATTGAATGCATTTCTGTTTGGGTCCTTGTCTGACACGAAACTTGAATCCCAGACAGATCCGACAGAACTTGGTCAGTGCTTCTAGGTCATTCTATTGTTCACTCTCTCTTTCTCTCTCTCTCACACACACACACCGGATAATTCAGTATTATTATTATGTTTAATTTATCTGTGATACAAACGTTTATTGCACCAGATTCCACTTGACATCTGGTCAAAGTGGCGATGTAAACATTCACGGGAATATAGTATACACACAAGGCATTCGAATGTGGAAAAACAGGAAGAGCTTGTGTGTGTGTGTGTCTCCGCCTGTCATTTCTTTTCGTACGGATCATCTGCAGAGTTGGACAGTTTGAATACACTTTTGTCTATAAGTTGTGATTTCTACTGCAATCAGAACCGAGACACAGATTGTCTAACATTTTTAACATTTGCACTCTTTTCGTCCCATTGGTCCCATTCGTCAGCGTGATACACGTGATGGTGTTGCACGTGATTCTGTTGGCCTGTGGTCTTCTGTTCGCCATGTTCTTCCCATCCATCGGAACAATTATCAGGTGAGTGTGTTTGTCCGGAGAAATTAAACACAATCACATCATTTCAATCGAACCGAATATTAAGAAGAATATTTGAAAAAACAAACAAACAGTTGTTCACGTTGATGTCAAATATAAATCCCTGGTGGATGTAAACGCGAGATCTCCTTCGCTTCTGACCGCGTGCTGATTCTGTTTTCTCAGAACCGTAGGCACATCGCTCTCAGTGACTGAGTTGTGAATTCCGAGATTTCGTTCGCTTTTCTATTTTGGGCTTTGATCAAATGATTCTGTGTGGTGTGACGTCAAACCATTTTCCACTATAGACATATTTGTTCAATGGATTTGTCCCTGAGTACGTACATGTGTTTCATGTCTGTCAGACCAAATCGATATGGTTTTGACCTGTTTAGTTATATGCAATTATACATATCCGGGGGGAGGGAGGGAGGGATTGGAACGGTCATTCATTCTGGAGACAGAATTTATCCCGACGTGTGTGCGTGCTCACTCAGCTTTGTCTTTGCATCACCGTAAACTCGCCTAGTGTGATCAGTCACATCACGAAGCTTTTGCGATAAAGATGGAGAAGACAAAACATCTCTGGTACCCCAGGGGCTCATTCGAGACACTTATGTTTGATATCATGAATGATAGTATAAACAGCTGATTCCCTTCAGTAGAAGCAGAATCCATATGTCTTTATAATTCCATTTTGCATTAGATTCGTTTCGTTTACAGAATAATTGTAATCGAAGGCTACGGAACCTACCAGTTTGTCTAAACTCATTACATTCTAATTGACCGTGAACGATGACCTAATCTCAATCGCTCAATTGATAAAAATCAACTCATTCGTTCTCTATGCAACGGTTCTATTATTACAAAAGTAACTATTATCATTTTAAAAAAGTAACATGTTCCAAAACTGAAACAGCAAGCTAGGTTGATCAGAGCTTTCATGTCTAATCAGCTAACCTACAGCACATTTCCCCCTCTCTTTTCTCTGCTCCATACACACACACACACACAGGTATATCGGTGCAGTGTCCGGCTTTGTCTACATCTTCACATTACCACCTCTAATCACGTTGCTTAACAAACGCTGTCTCGGTCGGGTCCCAGCTCCGTCGGTGACTGAAGTTTCGATAGAGAGCGGTTCGGGAGAAACGCCCGGATCCCGACCATTGTTGACTATTCCACCCGACAAGAAACAGAAGACAGTATGGCGCGATAGGAAAACTCGACAACTATGGTGGATCCGAGCAGTGGGTTATTCCGTGATAATTTTCCTCGGATTGGCCAACTTTGTCGGACAATTCTTGGTGCAATTTCTCTGAACTACCAGTGGCATTCCACTCGTGATGGCACTGGTCTATTTCAATTTGCCAACTTCTCGAGTTGATCTCTAGGAAAGAGTCAATTTGCCAAATACCAACAGGCAAACGCACACACACACACACAGACAGACTAAAGTGCACATTCACATAGTCACATACACCAATGTACCTCTCTCACCTACTCACCGGCTGGAACGACTGAGTGGGAGAAGTAAAAGCAGAAAAATGGAAGAAGCATTCATTATTCAGTCAGTGGGGACCACGCTAAGGTTCAAACGTGGATCTGGAATAACGATCTGACTGCATTTACCAAACACGTTTATTTCTCTTCATCTCCCAACCAAAGCCGTTCCGAACATTCTTCTATATACCTGTAATCATATACAAGTAGAGTACTCCATCAGGAACGATTATCAACCTGTTCCTACCCAGTTTCCTCCACCTGGTGCCTCTACCCACAGAATTGGAGGGCAATGTGTGTGTGTGTGTGTGTGTGGTATGAACCAATATGAACCGTTCTCAAAACTCGCCATATAGTTCTCAGACGATCCGCTTATATGCACTATCAATATCACTCACCATCATCATAATCATCATCAACACCAATAAACTATTACAATCAACGAACTCATATTCGTCCCTTTTTATAAATTTATTTCATATTTGCCTCTCGTTCCTGGATACGTTTGTTTTCTCTTCCTCCGGTGGCGATCCCGTGTTTCTTTCCTTCCTTCCTTTGACCTTCCATTTTTACCCTAAACGTTACTCTCTAACGTTCTTATGCATTGTGTTCAAGCATGCGCCTCTTATCGAAACCTCTATCTTATATATATATATATATATATATATATATATATATATATATATATATATNCTTTTCCTTTTTATACACCTACATGCAAAATCGCTTTATTTATATGTAATATTCCTTCCTAGTCACTGAATCAATTACGCACAGTTTACACTATTTGTTTTCTTGGAAGACAGTTGAAAATTGAGGCTAACCGACTGGATCGAGTATTGAAGTCGGGAATTTTCTTACAGAATAGTCCCATTTCAAACATGCCCCCCCCCACCCCGGAAGATTTATTCTAAACTTTGTGCATACTACTGGTTATTGTTGTTGTTGTTCTGGTCTCACGCAGAGACAGTTCGAACCCAACACGGTCTCTTATGTGCCTTCACATTGTGTGCGTGTGTGTGTGTGTGTGTGTGCGTTGTCGTTGTTCCACTCACATGCCTCACATACCTAGTCACTTCTGCTTCGTACCCTCAGTCCGAGTTTCTCAACTACTCCCCCTTCCCCATTTGCATCGGACACCATAACGCGTGCCCCAAACTCACAATTGGATACCACTGTGCGCGCATGCTCCATCACATCCGGAATATCATAGCTATTGCACGGTTAGTCAAGGAATTTGATAATATTCTCAACAGTTTTTTTTTTATCATTGTTCACTTTTTTATCCTTTTCCAATCGGGTGTTCTACAATTCAAAATAAGAAATAGAGAAAGTGAAAGTGAACCGGAATTACTCAATCCCCCAATGTTACGACAAGCTAGTGACTAGCTCTGGAAGTAAGCTACATGCTTTAAAATCATGTTCAGCACGGGCGAGGAAAACCAGGGACCACCGATGAAGGTTTAAGTTTCCATATCTGGTAAACGAGGAAGCTATAGCTCGATCGAACGGGTGCGGTTGTAATTGTGTATGCAATCAGCTGCGGCAACCAAAGCGTTTGAGTAGCGTGTTACGAAAAAAATCCGTACAATTTGAAAGTCAAATACGCCTTCTGTGTGACACGTTTCGACTAGTCGCAGGATTCTTGGCACTGGCGGGTCATTTCTTCAGCAAAAATGAAAGACTTTTACACTGTTGGTGTTGGCAGGTTCTACTGAGCGGGAAGTGTTGTTTGCGACCAACACTTCCAGCTCGGAGAACGCACCAACACCAGCACTTTCAAGTTGTGGTAGAATGCAGCGT